TTGATTAAATAGTTTTATATTAATACTGGATTGAATATATAGGTATATTAATGTGTGAACTGTAAAAATACCTTATATTGAATGACACGGGTATTGTCTGTACTGTATGTGCACTGCAGCTGCCATCATTTAAGTTTACAATTTTAACACTAAAGTAGATCCCAATTCATTCATTGATTTTGCTAAGAAAGTGATCAAAATTTAGATTTGAAGACCAAAAATATAAAAATTGTTTCGACACTACAGTACTAATATATTCATGTCTTTGCTGTCGACTGTAGCGCACTGTTAGACTAAACATCAATTTTGCATTAGGTAGCAGATGTCTTATAGAGATGGACAGTCAGTTACATTTATATAATAGTTTTATAGGCTTTTTCTAGTATATATATAGCAGGGTTAAGCAAATAGGTGGTAGGGGCCCCCATAGGCCACTTGGGTTTTTAGGTAATAATTGTTAATTAACAATTTTATGTTTTATAACATACTTAAATTAAATTATTTATCCAATAAAGTAATTATGTCACAAGTAAAATATTATTTTTAAATAATTAAAATAATAATTATTATATCTATTCTATTTAATAATGTTTTTATAAATAATTTTTATATTTTATATTTTAAATGTTAAATTATTATTTATTTTTTAAATTTTAATCAAATATAAAATAAATATCAATTTAAAAATTAGTATAAATTTTAATAAAAAATAATAATAATAACTATTACATTAATATTTTATTATATATAATATTATTTTTATAAAAATATTTAACACTTAAAAATGTTCATTTTTACAAAAAAAAGTAATTATATTACAATTTGAATATTATTTTAAGATAATTAAGATAATAATTAATAATAATTGTATTATTTTAAGTTTTACATTTTAAGTATAAAATTTTAATTAGAATTAAAGTTTTTATTAATTTAAAAAAATATTCATAAATTTTAAGGAATTTATTAGAAATAATTTCCAAATTTTTTGTGTATTTTCTCATGATCACCTCTTAGATTTTGAACAAATTGTCGCTTAAAAAATGCAATAAAAATGTAAACCACACCCCCTATACCCTCAAGTTTTTTCGATTTTACCCAACCCTATATCCCCTTAGATCCAAAACCTATCACAACCCTGATATATATATACACAGTATATAAACCCTACAAATCTTTTTCTAAACAGATTTATGTAAGAATTATGTTTTTTTATAAATACAGTATTTCTATATAAAAATAATATATACAATAAAATAGACAACAAATATATGTTAGTCTGTGCTTCAGTTGACTGATCCGTCAACCGATTCATAAATTTTATTTTTTTTTAAATTGAATCCAATATTAAGTTTTTGAATTTAAGGAAATCTTAAGTTTTAGCCTTTCATATTATATATATATATATAGATATATGTATATAGATATATGTATATAGATATATATATATATTTATATATACTGTATATATATATKTCTTTATACAGTACATACTTTTATATCATAAACAGTTATAAATACCTAAATATAACAACAATTTTATGCATACTTAGGATAAATTCTTACTAATTCTCACTTATTTTGTGGAAAAGTAAATAAACTGCTTTACAAACTCACACACACACACATACATACACAACACATACACACACAACACATACACACACACTACCGATTAGTGTGTTAGTAGAAAAATTGTGGTTTTATATAATATTATTTGTTTGATATTTAAAGTAAAAGTGTTCACAATTCCTATTTTCAAAGCACACGCAATACGTTTTACTATTTATTTGTTTTTTAGGTCAATCGTTATGCTTATTGTCTATTTCTTTCTCAATATTGTTTTGATGGGTAGCAAAACTTTTTGACATAAAAGACATGTAAAAAATTTTTGTAAGTTATAAACATTGATACACACATATATACTTATGATATTTTATTGACATTTTTACTATAATATAAAGTTATTCTCTACTTTTAGTTTAATGTTAACCACATTTAATAACATGCAAATGATTAGTTGAATCTATTGCTATGTGTGAATGTTTTATTTTTCTATACATCTAATGAATACACTTTGATAATAATGTAAATATTACAAAAAATAGAGAATTGGATAAAGATATAGATTATTCTTATATAATAAAATATTCTTATATTAATACCACAATTATATAGGATATAATATTTTTTTTATTGATATATAGCTTTATATACAGTATTATACTCTATTATAAATATCATATCTTTTATATACTATGATATGCAATAAATTTAGTTTCATAAATATGTTAAGACATTAAACGGAAATTCAAATTATTATTATTTGACTCATTTATATTTGTAGTCTACTATATAAATGTAATGCTTATATATATGCATTCAATGTCGACACTGAAACACATTCAATCAATAGGAGCACACATTAAGTGAGAATATAAAGAGTAGTAAAATCACAGTTGTATTACAAGACTTTACACTTAAAGTAGTATACAATAGTCAGTAATGTGTTTAACAAATATTTTTCTGAGTGTTTAACAAATGCTTTATACTATACCACAATATCTATAAACTATAATATAAATGGTATATAAAAATAATAAACATGATTTAAGAGCGCATCGAAATATTTTTTATCTGTTATTGTAAAATGAGTGCAAATATTTTGGTTGTTCAACAATACGTACAAAAATATCACAAATTTTAAATTCATGTATTTTTTATAAATTTTTGTTTTATTATTTATTGCTCTCAAAGGAATAGTGTTAGTCTCTATTTTCTATGCTTTTAAAGATCTGATGACACAATTTAGACCTCAATACCAATAAAAACCCATTTATTTGAAAATCTTATATCAGTAGACGTTTTATGTATTTTGAAACTACACAAACATAATCTAAATAAAATTGTTTGACAAATAATTTTTAAGATTTTACCGTTACATTAAACAGTTATCGTTTTTAATGAAATTGACACATACTCTACAACTATTTAAGAGAGATTTATTTTATTACTAAATATCAAATTTTTACAACAAAAATAAGTTTAGAAAATAAGTGAATGAATAAATTGAATAAATGAGTAAATAATTGAAAGAAAAAGAGAAAGTTTTATATAAATATGTGAAGATTTAGTAAATTATTAAACCCTTAAAACTACACAAATGTTTAAATGCTTAAAATATAATATTAACAATTTACAAATTTTAATTAAATTTTATATAAATAATATATAATATAAATTGATAAATTGGCTAAGACAACATAATTTAAATATTGTGCTAATATTTTTTTTTAAAAATTCAATTAAAATTTAAATAAAATTATTAAGAATATTATACAACATTTATAAAAATCTAATTAAAAAAATGATAAATATAATTAATTTTTAATATGTTTTATAAATCTAGAGTTTTCTTATAACTTATAAAAATTTAATTAATATCAAACAAAATACACTGTATATTATACAGTAAAAAGTTTTAAGAGTAAAAATTGTTTTGAAAATAACTAAATTTGTGGAAAACTTGTTATTTATGTTTAATTATATAATGTATATATTTTCTTGTATTTGCGTAAATTTAGTGATTAACTGTAAAGAAATTAAAATATTTTAAATTTTATGGAAAATATTCGTTTTTTTGTTTTTAAAAAATAAGTGAACATATTTGCAATACTTATATAAATTGAGATATCTTAGACATTTAAAACGTACAAAACATTAATGAGTATCAACTATGTGTTATAAATACAGTATAGAATATAGAAATATAGAAAGTATATCAAAGCTTAATAACGTATATAAAGTAATTGACAAAATAACAAAAATATATATTTAGTTGTTTTTGTTGTTCATAAATAAATTGGTGATTTGATCAAATAATAAACAACATTATACTCTATTATCTTTATATGTTATTATTAAGTTTTCATAAAATATTATATTTCTTAAATTATAAAAAACAATATTATAAAAAATTGATAAAAAATCATTTGTATAACTATGATAACAAAAGCAGTCGTATTTTACTAAAATATTTAATCAAAATATTTTATTGACCGACAATTCAAACATAAAGTATTTGCATTATATATTATTATTCGGTATATTTTATTTATATTTATATTGAAACATTTTTTTAATATTACAAATTTACGAAAAACTATGTATAATTATTTTCTATATTACTTTAATTATTTAATAATATAATATATAAATGCAATATCAACAATAACAGTAAACAATATTAATATATAAAAAATATTTATTATGATTATTATTAATTATATTTATGTTATATTTTTCTTAATGAAAAAATTCCGGTTTTTTATTCAAATTTAATATCATTAAAAAGGTATGTAAATTATTTTATATATTAAACATGATATACTATATATATATATATATATATATATATATATATATATATATATATATATATCTGTATATAGTAATAAAAATGTCTACATTTCTTATATAATGATTTTTAATATAATTTAGTGTATTTGAGTTATAATAAATAAAAATAATTTATTCTTTTATTATTTTGAGTATTTTGTTTTATAATAATATTATATCTAATTTCTGTATAACTGTTTTTATATAAACATATAAACATAACATAAATTCAATTCTAATGTATTTAGCAATCAATACTAAAAATATTAATAATATCATAATATTAAAAGTATATATTGTTAAAATAAATTAGTGAGAGTATTGCTATACAATAATTCATATGTTTAATATAAAAAATAAAGTAAAAAATATCATTAAAAATATTAGATCACAAATGTTACGTTTAAAGATTTTTAAAATATTTTTTTACATAAAATTAAATTTAAACTATAAATATAATTAATCTTATTTTTTAAAATTAATACATCATTTTATACATTTATATATATAATGTCATTGAATTTTCATGTATTGATTTACAAATTATAAATTATTAAATAACAAACTAATTTAAATGACAAAACTTATGACAAAACGTTGCTTACCTTTGCTATAGTCTTGTGTAGTATTTTTAATATTAGGTATAATATGTTGCAAAATATAATTTGTTTGCTGACTACAACTATTTTATTGATTAATTATATTTAAAAAAAATTAAATAATGAAAGCAAGCATTTAAATTAATAACTTGTATTTTCGATTTGTTGCAAAATAAACTGCAATTATACCAATAATTAGTAAGATTTATTATTATCTAACTATAATGTATATACATAACACTTAAGTTACTTTTTAAATAAGCAAATAAAAACAGTTGGAAACAGTATATATTTAAATAAAACAATTTTAGAAATTTTTTCAAATAGTTTTGATTAAAAAAAATTTCAAAACAATTATAAATGTCCAAACATGAGCACTAATTTTTGAGACACACATTTGACTCTCACAATATTTTCAACGTTTTTTTTACAGTCCAAGTGTTGTTCAGTTTATGGCTTATAGACCAACAAAAAACATAGGAATATATAGATAGGAAACACAGCCTTTTCTCGGTTCATATATTTTATATGTGTGTTAAAGCGACACACGATTCTGTACCACAAAGAATATTCTGTTTCACAGCACATATAGATTCTTGTTCTCCAAACACTCTGTCTAACGTCACTTCCAATAGGAAACACTACTCCACATACATATCGTTATCATTCATATTATTATCGGTACTTATATAGACATCTTTTATTGCAAAACTAAACTAAACTAAAATATTATTTGAAATTTCATTTATTAAATATCAAACATTCAATACATAATAACTGTTATTACAAACTTAAATAACTGCTGCATATATCTTAAGTATCACTAAATTATTATAATTAATATATAACAATATAATACAATTATAATTAATATTAAAAATAATATTAATATATAAACTAACCGTAGTTTTTCACAATTTCATTGGTATATTATTGTGTACAGTATATGCATATTACAGATTATTAAAAGAAATCAAAACATAATAATAATAAAAGTTAAAAATTAATTTGAAAATTGACACTATTTTTATGTAAAGAATAAAAATAAAAATTTAAGTAAAATTATTATAAAATATTTTGAATAATTATTTTAACACTTTAATTTAGCTTTAAATAATACTTTCAAGGTTAATTAATTAATTTATTATAATTCTGTATATTTTTATATTTGTTTTTAATATTGAATTCAGTAATAAATTTTACATTTTTAAATTATAAAAAATATATTACAACTATTATTTCACTAAATTATATAATAAAATTATGTTAACATTTAATAATACACATTATTTTTAATAAGTTATTTAACAAACATTTTTAACAAACACAACTCATATTTCAAGTTTATGTCAATTTTAAATTTTCAAATAAATTATTATAGTAATGTAAAATATGTTAAGAAATTTAGAAAAATGATGAATACATAACAAAAATTAAATGTTTTAAATAAAAATAAATAATATTTTTATGTAAAATTTTAGTATAATTTTTACTTAAATCCATTAATAAAATAAACATATATAAGTGTTAGTCTAATAAATAACTAATATATTTATAATGTCTAAGCATTTATGCTAAGCGAATACATATTTATGAATATATTTTATTTTATTTATAATTTTGTAAATATTTAAAATTTAAATTATTAATTTTTATATAATTATGACAAACTTATATTTTTATATAATCATTAATATTTGATAAAATAATCACAAAGTAATGGATTAAGTATTCAATCGTTAATCCTGTTTTATAAAGTGATGAGAAGTAATGCTTTCCTAACGGTCCATATGTTTTAAGTGTCGACTCAAAGCTGTATCCAATGTGAAGGCAATGTTCACACAAACTCTGCAATCATATGCTTATAAGCAATACTTCACTCATAGTTTCTCAATGCAGACCAACAGCACTATTAGATCCAGTGATTGCCGACTCTCTCTCTCTCTCTGTTATATAAGAGTAGCATTTGATCGATACTTAGCCAACAAATGCTCACAGCTTTTGGGCACTGAGTGTGACATTCAGTCAGTTGTATGTTATATTAAATGTGAACAGATATATGAATAAAATAGTTTTGACTCTAAAAATATATAGATATATATGAAGTATATATATACGAAAGATAACCAAAAACTAAATACTTGAATGATTTATCGGATGACCAAATCGTTTGCTTGCACTGAGAGGACAATGACGAGTCACTTGTGTTGGCCGACAAGCTTTTCACCCATTGTTTTACAACTTGTTTGCAAACTTATTGTCGTGTTTGTAGTTGTCATCTGTGGTGTCAAATGTGATCAATTGTTGGATACAAGATTGAGGCACCAAATGGTGGCCACACATTCACACGCCGTCATCAAACTGGACGGCGATCTCATATTTGGCGGACTGTTTCCGATGCACGACTCGGGAGATGAGATGTCTCTATGCGGTGCTATTAAAGAGGAGAAAGGCATACAACGCTTAGAGGCTATGCTTTATGCCATTGATATGATTAATGCCGACCACACACTACTGCCCAACCTTACYATAGGTGAGAGTATTATTGTATGCTATCATTCATTATATCTAACAGCACTTTCAACTAAACTTATATCAATCTAACAATTGAGTAAAACTAATATATATTTATATTAAATCTGATAAAAATGATATAACATTTAGATTTTTAATTAAAAAATGATTATTTATAAACCAATTTCTTATTTGTATAATATTTTGTGTTAAAATAATCATTTTTAATAGGATTTATATTTGTTTATTTATAATTCTAATAATTAAAAATGTATAAAAATTAAACATCCTTTAAATTTTATTAAACAAGTGGCATAAACTTATCGTAATAGTACTGTATATATATTATAATATTTATGCAATTATTAGATCTAATGGTTTGATTTAAATTGATTAAAGTTAGTTATTAGTAAGAAAGTTAATAGTCAAATGTATTTATATTATTTTAATAATAATATATAAATTTGAAATAATGATAAAAATACAATAAAAACAATAACTAACTAAATCTAAGTGCAATCAAGAATAGCGCAATAAAACAATGTTATATACAATGAACAGTATTTTACGTATTTTAGCTATTTTTAAGTAGATGTACAGTAATATTAAGTTATTATAATTTTTTATAAACTAAGATTTATTATGTCACGAATTAGTTTCTATTTTTGAACATTAGATTATAAAGTTAAAAATTGTGACAAATATTTAAATATGATAGCTTCATAATATAATACATCATATTTATAGTCTATATAACTAAATTAATAATGATAGACTTATTATAATAAGTTTAATTAATAAATAATGATTTGAATAATAAAGTATGATCTCTAATGATACAAATATTGCATTTATTTGTTTCATATTTTCAATATATATTTGAGTCCTAAATACTTATTATATTTTCTAACAGATTGAGTGAAGTATAATATCCAATGCATTCATAACACTTAAATCCATTTAAATCTTACTCAATATAAATAAATAAATAAATGTATATATTATAAACATTTTAAGTATTAAGTGTTATAAATAGGAAAAGTTTATTATTTTTGTCTAATAATATGATATAAAGCCAATGAAACTGCAAATGTAATGAATGTAATCATCTATTTGTTGACCTTATATGAAGTGTAGTCCACTTCATAACACCTATGAATTGGTGTGAAACACAAGTGAAGACCATATACTGTATATTATGAGAAAAACTACTGAATGAACAAAAATATTGGATATAAGACATCGATAAGTATGAATCAGAGAGGGATTTATATTAGAAATGATTATTATTTTGTCTCCTATTCATTGAGTGTGTGGTTTTATCACTCAATAATAATAATAATAATAATAATAGACAATCTCTTTGAATGTATTAATTTTGGCAAATAAATTGCCAACTTTTGCCATTCCTTAAAGCTATTCATTTTGAGATTAGATTTATTATTAATTTAGACAAACACTACCAAAAGGTGTGTATATGAGTGAGTGAATGAGTGTGTGTGTGTGTGTGTGTGTGTGTGTGTGTGTGTGTGTGTGTGTGTGTGTGTGTGAGAGAGAGAGAGAGAGAGAGAGAGAGAGAGAGAGAGAGAGAGAGAGAGTATGTTAGTGTATGTGTGACCACATAAAGCATAAAAGTGTATATGAGTTATAGACAATCAAAACTATATACAATTTTTTTTAAATATTTGCCTTAAAGAAGAAAAAAGTTGTACAGAAAATGTGATGAAATGATAATATATATATAAGTGAGAGCACATAGTTTGAGATTATTGGCTAATGGTTTGGATTCAAAGCATAAGATTTGCTGCAAAATGACTTTTTTGACACAGAATTCAGTTATATTTAAAAGTTATGGTCTCTCTCTCTCTCTCTCTCTCTTTCTTTCTTTCTTTTTTTCTTTCTTTCCCTTCAAAACTATAATTTGATTCACAATTTATTTGTGAGTTTTTTCTCTTACATGTAATTAATTTTCTTGTTATTATAAAAATACATTAATCAAAATAACCACTTACTATAAAAAGAAATTACACACATTTTTTCCATATATATTAAATATAATCTTATGAATAAATTAAGCTATTATTTATACAGTTTCAGAAAAAATTAATAACAAAATTTAGTACAATCTAATGCCTAATTTGTTTTGTATAAATATAGCATAAATTATTAAATAAAATATGAAAATATTATGAATTATCAATTTAGTTATTAAAATTGCAAATGATTTCAAAAACATTTTATATTTTAAAAAATTATGTATTTATGGTTGTCTAAAGTGTAATAGTAAAACACATTGCATTTATAAAGTTTATAGAAATAAAAATAACAATAAAACTTAAATAAAAAATATTATCTTTTATTTGAAAATTATTTTATAATAAAATATATTGATATTAAATATTAGTTATATAAAAATATGTATAATAAATAATTTGTTTATCATTTTAGACAACTAAATAATATAGTATTTTTATTTGCCAAATGGTATTGTTCAAATATAAATTATATACCAATGAAAGTACTGTATATTGTAGTATAATATATCAATAAATACTATCTAACAAATGAATTTCATAAAGTTTATGCTTAAATAAATAGTTTTTCAAATAGTTTAAATTAATATACTTTATTTTAAAATTGTAAAAATAAATATTGTCTATAAAACTATACCATTAAATGCAGGGTTTAGCAAGAGGGGTAGGGTTTGGCCATTTTGCCCCCTTTAGACCAAGATTTTGGGATTTTATCTCCCCAGACTTTTTGACAAAATTTAAAATATTTTAATATATTTTAATAGAAATATGTAAAATAATTTAAACTACATAAATTTTAATCTAAATAAAGCATTATTTAAATAAAAATATGTAATTAAATAGTTTAAAATTAACTATTTGGTAAAAAATATTATAATTTAAGAAAAATATTATTTTATATTAAGTTATTATGGTTATTATTAAAGTATATTGTAAATAATTTTTTAAATTCAAACATACAAACATATTGTTACGTAAATAAGGAAATTTATTGGTAATTTTAGGGAATTTTAAGGAATTTTTTCATTTTTGAAAAATTTCCGTTTAAAATGCAATAAAAATACACCCCATCCTATACTCTCCTAAAATTCAATGCTTTACTTAACACTGATTGAATGGCTTAATCTAAATATAAAATTTAAGTTATATTTATAAAGATTGATTTTAATAAAAAGCAATAAAATAAAAAGCAAGTTAATTATATTAAATTGATGTAATGATAATAATAGATATTCAACAACACACACTGTACTACATTATAATAATATTACATTAAGTGAAATAAATATTTAAAATTAAGCAAATATAAAATTAAGTGATTTATTGTTTGGATAATAGATTAGTTTATAGTTAAATTGGAATTATTTGTAAACATTTACTAAATTAATTTTAATTCTAATAATAGTTTATATAGAAAAATACCAAATTTGAACAATAAAAACAATAAAAATGCATGAAATATAAAATTTAGATTATACTATATATTATTATTACAAAATATGTTAAAGAATATAAAATAATTATCAATTTAAAGTTTATTAAAATTATATATTTTTCTATTTTTATCAAATGGCTAATTGTATAGATAAYGATAATACAGTATTAAAACATWAATTATTAAAGATAATATAGTAACTAAAATGTTGTGCTATTGACTGTGAAGCCATAAAATAATAATAATAATTTTGATAAATACATAGATAAATATATTGATAAAATATTTGATAAACTTATACGTGAATGAATACAAAATGATAGATTAAAACAGTTTATCTATTGCTTGACTGATTGTGAACCACTGCTATCGGTGACGGTTTGATTACCAATTTAAGAGTACTGTTAGTATTTAAAAAAAATTACAATTAATTTTAAATATACTTTTTGCACAAAATTATATAATTAAATTATGCATAAATATAATTTGAGTACTAATTAGAGATCGTAACCGAAGGATATTTTAGGAACCGTTTGGAACAAAATTCCAGAAACCGAACCGTAGTTTTAATAAAATCTCAATTTTATTTTTATATAAAATATAGAGTCGAATAATTAGAATAACTATAAATTAATGTAGTAATATTAACAGCTTTAATAATAATAATTTATATTATGTTTTACGATAATTATAATACAGTATAAAATAATTTTAATAACAAAAACATTTAGAAAGAGATCGAAAATTGAACCGTTTTGAAAACCGGAACCGAAATTTAGGAACCGAACCAAAACCATTACGGTTCCGGTTTTTAATGGTTCCCCAAACCGAAACCGTTTAGGTTCCGATCTCTAGTACTAATTAATTTAATAAAACAATATTAAAATATGCTTCAAGTTATTTAGAAAAATATGTGCAATTTTTATATAAATTTAATTATAAATATTGATAAATATTAAATTTATTATAAAATAATAATTTGATAAAATAATTAATTGTTATTAACAAATAATAATGATTTGCATTGATTATAAAAAATATTTTTAGTTTGCTTTTTTTTAAACAAAGTTTGTTATTTATATATTAGTTCGAGTCTTAAACAACAATGGCGGCAATTTTATTAATAACAATTATCTGCTAAACAATATTTTGAATTAAAAATGACCAAGGGCAAATTATAGATAATTCTAAATTGAATAAAATTTAAATTGGTCATTTTTAATTAATTATATTATTGACCAGATAATTTACAGTCGACTGTTAAAAAATTATAAATAATAATCAACTACATTTATCTGGCCAATCATACAATTAATTAAAAATCATCTATAACTTCCCTTGGTCACTTTTAAATCAAACGTATTATTTGCCAGATAATTGTAATTAATAGCAACCGCTGTTTAAGACTCACTATATAAATAACAAATTTTATATAAAAAAAGCAAACTAAAAATATTTTTTATAATTAATGCAAATCATTATTATTTATTAATAACAATTAATTATTTTATCAAATTATTTTTTTTCATAATAAAATCACTATTTATAATTAAATTGTAATTTAATTTGTTTATCTACAATTAACAATTTATATTGTTTTAAAATAGCGATATTTTAATGTATTGTATATACTTTACCGTTGTGTAAGACTTTCTTTTATTTATATTATTTGTATTAGTTTTAGTTTATTAAAACTATGATTTAAATATAGGCTATATTTATAAATGTCATATTGTATTTGGCAGTCACTTATAAGATATTTAGTTAGTTCACACATAGGCTTAATATCAATTAAATAGACAGAATATTCTGTGAGAAATACTTATATTAAAATTTATTTGAATTAATTTATTGAATAAAATAATTTTTATGTTCAATTAATAACAACTAACTAATTAAAATTATCTATTGATTAAAATAATTTTTATACACTGTACGGTAAAAATTTATAGCAAAATGACAATAGAGTGAGTATTGTATATTAAAATTGTTATGTATTATAAAAATAAAATACAAATTAATTAAGAGTTTACTATTATTATTATTATTTTATCAAACAATAAGTGCAATGTTTGGCTTTAATTGAATGTAAAAGTTTGGAGAGCTTTGTTAATGTTTAACAATTAGATTATATTGAAAAATGCAATATAATTATGTGTTGACATCTAATTAGTGAATATTTAAAGTTGTCTCATTTAATTACATCACTCAAATAAACTTTCTCTATTGTCTATCAAAACTATTTGAAATTATTTTTATTTTTTATATATTAAGCAAACTTTACAGTAAATATGATTAAAAATAAAAATCAATTAAAATACCATTAAATCAATTCACGTAAATATACACTGAGAAACTAACCGAGCGTTTGATTTTTTAAACAAATGTGTTATACTGTATACAGTAATACAATACAATATACAGTATACACTGTATTTATATCAATAAAAACAGCAAAAAATAATTTAAATGTCATTATATTTATGTTGTTAAGGATCGATAAAATATATATTAAAAATATTTAGAATAAAAACTTTTCGTTCAATTTTTTAAAAATGAGATTAATATTTAAAATATCTATTTTATACTGTAATGCATATAAATATCAAATAATAGAGTCTTTTTTAAACACATTATGACAATTGTGTGAAAATGTTTGACTGACAGACACTTCACTCATTCACTAATAAATAATCTTAAGTTTGCTATACTATTAGTGTTGAGAAAATATTTTTTTTTATAAATTTTCCAAAAGAATTTTTTTTGGACAGTATTTTCCTCTAATTTGTTAATATTTATTTACTTTATATTATAATCTAATACTTAAAAAAACTAAAGTTACTTATAAAATAATAAATACAATGCTTATTTAAATAAATTAAATAATATATACTTTTTTATGTTTAAAAATTAATATTTAAATTAATATCTTAAAATTTGTTAAAAAATATATAACTTGATATATCATAAAATAATATAAATCTAATTTACTAAAATATGTTTTTAAATAAATATTAAAAACTCTACAACTCTATATATTTGTTTTTGATTTGACTTGCATTTCAATATTTTTAATAATAATAGTAATAATTAAAATATAAAAATATAAATATAGAATCAAATAATATAGATTATTATTGTAGTCAACTCTACTTATTTTTAGAAATCTTTTTTGAAATATTCCTCATTTTTATCAAAATTCCTATCACTTACTATCGTATATTTTACATCAAATTCTCAGTTCACTGAATGACAGCTCAATTCGTTTATAAGATTTGAAACTTACACTAAAAACTCCACAACTCATATAAAAACTTTCTTTACATATAAACCAAAAAATTGTATAAAAATGGATGAATGTGTGTGTGATAGGAGAGAGAGAGAGAGAGAGAGAGAGATAGATAGAGAGAGAGAGAGAGAGAGAGAGAGAGAGAGAGAGAGAGATAAATAAATAAATAGATAGATAAAGTTTATAAAAAAATATATGAAATATCATTAATATTTTTTTATTGATATACTTATTATTATTAATTTATTATTATATACAATTACTTTTTATATATTTTCCATTTTAATAATTATTTGATTTGCTAAATACAATTAGTTTTGTTATGAAAAATTCGTTTAATACATAAATATTAATAAAATTCATTGGTTTATATTGTTAGTTATGAAAACTATTAGCTAAAATTTTTGTTCAGTAGAGTATTTTTGTAAAACATTGATATATAAAAAATTGAATAAAAAAATATTACATATAAAGTACTTTTTAAAAAATTTAATTTTTATTTAAAATTAATATTCTGGTAATATTAAAAGAGTACAAATTTAATAATTTATAATATATCATTATTTTAAGCCTTAATATTTTATAATTATCATAATATCTTATCTAAAAAATGGTAATAGCTTAATATAATATAAATAGGCAATATAGGCATAATTTTATACATTGAAAAATATTTATGCTTTTATAAATTTAGTGTATTGACAAATATTTAATTAATACAAAATAATTGGTAAATGTTTGTTTATTAATATTTAAATTTATTTGCATATAATCTAAATCAATTACTATATTATATTAAATTTAATAAAGAAAAGGATTTTACTTTAAATATTTGATGAAATAATGTAAAGTAAATACTTTATACTGTATTAATATTAATAAATATTATCATAGAGTATATTATTTTTAATAGGATTAAGTGGTATTTGTAGTACAATTGATAAAAATTTTAAAAAATGCTTTGAAATAAAATGTTGGTTTTTAGAACACTTAACAAAATTTATATCTAAAGTTTACGTAACTTTTTCAAAATTACAATAATTCATAAATATTTGTTTTATTGTTATAAATAAGAGAAATTAAAGATCTTTTTTAGAATAATATATATTTATATTATATATATATAGACATAATATTTATATAAAAGAGAAATTGTTAAAAAGATTAAAATAAATTTATTATAAAAAAATTATTTAATTATTACAGCAATGTAAATAACAGTTAATATTATATACAAAATAATAAAACATAATAAAATATATACTATTAAGACTTTAATATAATATTATACTAATGATATGCTAATAATAATAGTAATTATATGCTAATGCATTTGATATACTTGATAAAACCACATTAATTAAATTATGACAAAATCACACAAAAATATTTAGTTTTTTATTATATAAATATTTCTTAAACAATAAATGTTTTTGAAAATGTCTCAAACATTTGCTAAAATTTATTTTATTTTATATCTAAAATTTAATAATTTTAAAGATTAGAACACATGGTTTTGAGTTTAAGTGATTTATTTTAACTAATAATACAATATAATGTAATAATAGTAGTAAATATTACTAACAATAATATAAAAATATATAATGAAAATAGTAATAAAATAAATCTAATGTTGTTTTTTAATTGAATAAAAAATATTCTACAAAACTATATAATAATATATTTTGTTTATATTTAAAAATATATTTATCAAAAAATACTATAAATTACTATTTTCACGAACTYCTGAAAGGAGTACTTATCTGAATTCTTTATGTCCAGACATTTGTCCAAAAATTTTATAATTTTGATTTAAGATTTGGATAACCCATCAATAATAATGTATAGGAAATCGGCATCAATATTGTCCTACTTTTTCAGGAACATAAAGAAAATGGCGGTCAAAATAAGAAAAATTAAATTAAAAAAATTTTTAACTTAGATTTGGATAAAACATCAAAATGTATGCAATTTTGTTTTATAAGTTTTGTACTATATCTTAAAAACAAAATAGCGGTCMWAATAAAAAATTAACATTTTGATTTTAGTTGCAAATAACTATTATAAATAAGAATGTTGAAAAGTTAAAATAGAAAATAATAATTATTTATATTTTGTTATTTTAAATTATGTTTCATACTTTACTATATTTGATTTTGAAATTTAAAAACGTTAAAATTAATATTTTTGTTATACTAAATCATGTTATTTCATAAGTTCATGGTTTAGTATTTTATGTCATTTTGAGACATTTGATACGTTACATAACAAAAGTTAAGTTTATTTTGTTATACTGAATCATTTGATACCCTAAATGACTAAAATTGCGTTTATTTATTTATAGAAAGTGAATTGCTTTATTTTTAATCTAATAGTGTTAAGAAATTAGTAAAATCAAAGAATATTCAACTAATAATTATATTAATATTACATGATTTAATAAATCAATTTAGGTTGCTTTGTAGCATTGTCAACTGGTTAGTAAATGCAATTTATCAACAAATAACTTAATATAAAATATCTATTAAAATTTTTTTATAATTATAGCATAAATAAATTTAATATACTGTACATACTGTATCATAATATCACTAAATTACTACAGTACTATTATATATATATATATATATAATGGCAAAATTAATTTAATAAATTTTTTAATTCATTAAATGAATTAAATAATTAACATCATTATAATTATTACTGTATATATATATATATATATATATATATATATATATATATATAAATTTTTAATACAATTGTATAAAATCAAATACTATAATTTTAGTATTACTAATATGTTTATTAAATTTTTTAGTGAGTTAATAAATTTGTAAGACCTTTAAGTTTATACATGAGATTAATTCAATTGTTTAAATTGATTTAAATGATATATAATTATATATAATACATAATTAAATAATCGAATTATATACATATATATTAAGTCATTTATTATTATTAAAGAAATATAAATATCTGTACAAATAAATATAATTTAATATACAATTTATCGCATATTATTTAATATTACTTTGACCTATAATTTAAAAAAATTACTTTTTATTATTTTATATTACTTCATATTAATATAAATAAATATAAATAAACTAATATATGAATTATTGATTGAATAGGTGGTCATATACTGGACACGTGTTCGCGTGACACGTTTGCATTGGAGCAGACCATGGAGTTTGTTAAATCTAGTCTAACAACAGTCGACAGTCAAATAAATGACTACCAGTGCGCCGATCACAGCAGTCCCCGATATATACCGCGTAAACCAGTGGTTGGTGTGATCGGTGCCTCTTCCAGTTCAGTGTCTGTTATGGTCGCAAATATTCTCAGATTATTTCAGGTCTTATATATTTTTTAGTATTTTATAAAAAAAATATTTATTATTTAATAAAAATAATAGTTGTGTATATTAATACTTGTATTTAATTTATCATTCAAAGAGTTTTCGCAAATTATTTTTATTAGTCTTTTTTGATAATTTATTATAATAAGTTTTTAATACAAAATATTTAGATAAATAGTTTAAATATAATATAATTAATACAACAAAATTATTAGTACATTTGTTATAAATTGCTATTAGGTATAAATTGTATATTCAAGTATAATATACTATAATATAATATAGTTTACTGCATGAATATACACTTATAAATAGCTTTATGATTGAACATAATAAATGCAAATTTTTTCATTTAAGCGATAAATATTAATTAAAAAATACGTAATACACTATAATATATTTCATAAATTTAAGTGTTTGTCTCTATTTTGTTGCATGAATATTTAATTTTTAATTCAATTTAAATAATTAGAAAAATACAATTTTATAAATTGATTTACAAAAATCATTTATAAACAAAAATTTCTATAATAATCGTAAATCATGTATAATRTTTCCTTAAGGATATTAGTAAAAAAATATTGATTTTGATATCAAAAATGGTTAATAATTTTACAAAAAAGTATAACTCAATCTCTTGAGAGATACTTAAGTAGTGGTCATATATTGCAGTCTTTTATCGAAAATACATTCACAATATGTGTCACTGAATTTGAAACCCTTATAACAAATAAAAAACGTTTGCATCAAATGAATGCACACATAAAATAAATAGCAATAAATAGGAAAAAAGAAAAAAAACTATTTTTATTTAAATGGTTGACCGAACAGCCAATTTAAGCTACCGTTCCCAATCTACTACCAGATTTAGGCTCTCACGCCATATCTTAAGTATAATAAAAAATTGTTATTTTTTTAGCCTCACGTCTCCTTTCTAGTACACTATACTATACTTCTAATGATGCTATCATGTGATATCACAACACATATATTATGATGTTAGCACTGAAATAATTAGACAATAATATGTTTTCTATACAGATTTTTATATAAAACTATGTATATGCAATCTTAAAATAATTTATTAAAATACAAAAATACCGCATTTCTCTCTCTCTCTCTCTCTCTCTCTCTCTCTCCATATTTGTCATAATTAATCATATTTTGCTCACAGAATATTCCCAAAGTTATTTACTTATATCAGAATATTTCTTTATTTTTCTTATCATTTTTGTTATGATTTTTATTATTGTTATAACATTTGATGTCTATATCGATAACATCAATAATAATCATGTAATAAAAATAAATGTAATATACGTTAATATGAATTATATTATTGGTTTTGTATAGAAATGTGGAAATGTAAAAATTGTTTATTATAATATCTAGCTCTTTAAAGAATATAGTGATTTTAAATAATTGCAAAAAAATATTTATTTATAAAATTGTTATTTTTATGAAATATTTGTTATTTACACTTTAATAAATACCTAATAATAAAAATCAACGACAATCATAAGTAGACAAAAAACATAATTGAATTTTTACAAATAGTTTATAATTTAACTAAAGAAACATAAAAGGCATACACAAATACACTCACATTTTTTATCAAATATATAAAGAGTGAGTAAACTTTATCTATCCAAACAAATGATAAGAAACAGGTTTTATAATAAAGTATACGTTATATTATTTTAAAGGGGTGCTAAAGACATGTGCTTATTAGTTGCAGTTTTATATTAAACTTTTATTACAAATTATTATATTTAAATTTTATTAATTAATAATTAAATTAGTAAAATGAATGAAAACAATGGTAACAATCTAAATGTTAAAAGTGGTAATTATACTGAACACGAATGTATTTATATAGTTCATTGGTAAGTAAAAGTTTTATTTATCTTAAACTATAATTTTGTCGTTGTCTTCATCTTCTGTTGTTTTTTCTTAGCCTTCTTTTCTGTTTCACTTCAACTATCACTACAGTTGGTCTCTGAAATGATTTCCGTACCATCGCTATCATTAACACTGTTACCCTCATAACATGTATTGACATCATTGTCTGTACATCCATATGTTTGATCCTAATGTGTGTCTGAAGTAAACTCTTGTAACCAAACTGTTTGTCACAACCCATGTAATGTCATTTATAAACCATTTTCTCCGTTAATTTCTTCGGTCTTCTTCTACTTCTTTTAATCGGTTTATTTATCAAACTATCATTCACTGTGTCCACAGTTTTCTTATTAATAATTTGGTATTTAATCAATTGTTTTAAATACAAACACAATTTGTTTGCAAACTCTTAACTAAATGTCTGTATTTATCAAACATTTCAATCAATTGCTGACAATATCTTAATTCACACAATAATATTTTGTATTTATAATAGGTTTAAAGAATTTAAAAATATAAATGGCTATAAATCACAACATAAATATGTTCAAGATAAGTTTGCGGAAATGTTTGACAAAAAGCCGCCAACACGACACACAATTTTAAGAATAAATAGGACATTTGACCAGGATAAGACTGTCCAAAAAAAGCACAAAGTTCCCCATAAAAAGCCTAAACTAACACCTCAAAATATTGAATTAGTAAAAAATGCTATAAATAATTATAAATCTATAAGAAAAGTTAGCGAATATTTAAAATCGATAAATGTTATTTTAAGTTATGGATCAATTCGTAATATATTGGTTAAGGAATTGAATTTATTTCCTTATAAAGTACAATTTGTACATAAATTACCTGAAAAATCAAAGGAAATGCGTGTTGATTTTTGCAATTTGATTTTAATTAAATTGGACGATAATGCCAATTATTTGGATAATGTTTGGTAAGTTTATAATAAATATTTTAATTTAATTGCTCGTTTCGTATATAACTTCACATTTATTTTCACACTGTTTTAAAAAATTTATTTTCCAGGTTTTCTGATGAATGCAATTATCATAAAAATGGTTTTGTTAATAAACAAAATATGCGAATTTGGGGCACAGAAAAACCAGATAAATCAATTGAAATTCAAGCCAACCCTGAATATTTATCAGTATGGGTTGCTTGGAATTATAAATATGGTTTTATTGGCCCTTATTTTTTTAAACGAGAAAAAGGCCAAAAATATACCATTAATGCATTAAAATATCAATCAATGATTGAAAATTATTTTATACCAAATCTTAAAGAAAAAACTGGTGATAATTACAAAAATCAAATATTCATGCAAGACGGAGCCAGTCCACACACAGGTATTTATTTGATTTTTTAATAGATTATGACTAGAATTCAATTTAAATTTATAAACAATTATAAAATATTTTAATTTTAACTTACAATTGATATGAATTGTCACCGAAACTCAAGTCTATCATTTTTTAGTTTATCTACTATTCCATCCATCCCTTGCCTTATCCCTCACAAACAAAACCCAGATCACTTCCTAATCTCACAACCACCCCACCCCACCATCACCTAAACTAAACCAATGATATAAAGCATTTATTGCACTATAAAAAAGAGAGTTGAAAGAGATCTGTTCTCTTAAAAACTGAGTTTCGGGTGACTCGTGATATCAATTGTAAGTGAAATTTTAAAATATTTTATAATTTTATGCTAATATTAAAATAAATTAATAAAAATATTATTATTTTTTATTTATTAGCACATACAACTTTAACTTTATTACAACAACATTTTCAAAATCGATTAATTAGCCTTAAAACTGATGTAATCGAATGGCCAAGCCATTCCCCAGATTTAAATCCATTGGATTTTTGTTTCTGGGGAAAGACTAAAATGGATGTTTTTCCATTTGAAAATCCTCCAATTGATTTAAATGAATTAAAAATAAGGATAATTAACTCTTTTAAATTTTTTAATCAAAACACTTTTGTAAAAATTATTGAAAATTTTATTTATCGCTTACATATATGTATTGCTCGAAATGGGGGGCATTTTGCTAATATTATTAAATAACGTTTTTTATTGTAATTTTTTTATTTTTTTTATTTGTTTGGATTAATAATGTTTAATCACTCTTTAGAATATACTGTATATTATATGTACTGTATTTACTTAGTTTCTCATTCTTATAAAATATAATAATAAAATAAAATAAAATAATTTACTGTAGAGTGAAACGTATAGTACAAGTATAACCAATTGAGTTCAAACACTTGATTTTTGGTGCGATATATCTCTTGAGAAAAGTTTTTATTTAGCGTTAAACTCTATTAATTGATTGATTGTTCCGACTTTATGGTATGGTTTTTCATACATTAACTGTGATGTATGTGTTTCTGTATTAAACCATATCCACTAATGGACACCGATCTTTATATTGTGATATATATACATAAAACATGTCTTATAGTATTCAATGTGAGTGTTTGGACAACACTTTGAAAATGTTTATCACTTTATAATGTTTTACTATGTTATTATGTTTTGCAATCCTTATAATGTTACAAAACAACAATAACTTACATTTCGATACATTATTTGAACTGTTTTTTTTGTTTTGTATGTTTGGGTTAACCCTTCTTTCAAAGTCAATTAATTTTTAATTGAATTATATTTAATCCAAAAAGACGTCAAATCAGTCACAGAAATAGCACTTTTTAAGACTTTTTTAGATAACAATAGAGAGAAAAGGATTAACTTTTTGCCATAAATGTCGCCAATTGGTGTCGGAGACAATCAATTTAGCGTTAAAATACTATACCATTAATAACAGCCATAATTAGGCTTATTATGAAATTCCCTTTAGTTTTGGACAAATTTTCCTCACATTTGTTATATGTTATAACTTTGTTTTTCTATCCAATATAATGATAATACTTTGTTAGTTGTTAGTTAAGTGTGTGAGTGTGTGTGTGTGTGTGTGTGTGTGTGTGTGTGTGTGTGTGTGTGTGTGTGTGTGTGTGTGTGTGTGTGTGTGTGTGTGTGTGTGTGTGTGTGTGTGTACTGTATAAGTAATATATTTGTAA